TGCAGAGAATTTTCAAAGATTCATAGACAACGTATTCAAGGGTCTCGACATTTTGCACGTATGTGATGATGACTGTCAGACAGCGAGTACGGACAAAGAATTCCATTACCAGCATATATGGACCTTATTTTCAGATAACTGCAAAAACATGGAATAACTGTAAATATTCAGAAATTTCAAATAGAAACCGATTCCCATGACTTTCTCAGGCATATCATTGACGCTCAAAGTATTTGCTATCTGAAAAACAAAAGTGGCTGATATTCTGGATTACCTAGAACAAACCACATTTAAGCAGTTATGCACGTTTAACGACCTGTTGAGTTTTTATCGATGATTCATGCCAATCGCTCATTTATCATGAAACACTTAACAGACCAACTTCGTGGAAATGCGAAAGTCATCAATTTGAACGACAATGCAAAGAATCATTCTAAACAGTAAACGAAATTATCGCAAAAGCAACTATGCTCTCACATCAATGCATAAAAGCACCCATTGGTATAGCTGTAGGCACATCCGACACGTCAATCGAAAGAGTTTTACAACAATGGATGAACAACACATGACATCTTTTGGAATTTATTTCCAGACAATTGCAAGATAATGAGTCAAGATACAGCACTTCCCGCAGGGAAATCATAGCTATATGTTGTGTTGTATGACACTTTCAACTCTGGAAGATTGATAATTTATCATTCTCACTGATCACAGACCTCTGGTCTCTTCACTAACCTCGTCTTCAGACAAGCACTTCCATGTAGAGTCTCCACAACTGGACTACGTCTCGCAGAGAGCTTCAGACTTGCAACATATTTGTGGGTAAACGACTTAATTACAGACTCCTAGCCTCGTTTAAATTTATTAAATATTTTCCAAGGAACTGATTCTCTTAAACTCTCCCAGCTTCAAAAAGAAAGTAGCGATCTTCGACATGAGTTATCTTCTACAACCCTGACTCAAACAAATGGTAAGTGGTAAGGAAACCTGACTATGTAACACATTTATGGGTGGGGATCCTCCGACCAAGTCGAAACGTAACTGACGCAACGTCCTCAACACGTTGCACAAAATCCCTCATCCAAGTGTTTGAGCAACCGTCAAGCTCATAACAGGACAATTTGTTGGCCCAGTATGAATAGAGATGTGATGGAATGGGCATGCTCTACAGTAGGCTGCCAGAAATCTAAGGTGTACAGACACAACACATGTCCCTTAGACTGTTTCACAGCTCCTGACTCTCATTTCGACCACGTTCATCTTGATTTGGTAGGATCCTTACCAGACTCAAATGGCTAATTTTAAATCTTGACGTGTATGGACCGTTTCACTTGATGACTAGAGGCAGTACCTATCAAGGACATTATTACTGAAACAGTGGCCCAGGCCTTCTTTGGACGATGGGTAGCAAACTTCGGCTGACTTTCAACTATTTCTACAAACCGTGGACGCCAGTCCGAACCTGGATTCTTTCGTTGTCTTACTACATTATTCGGAATCACACGATTTTAAACGATCACGTACTACCCACAAGCTAACAGATTGGTAGAACGATTTTACCAATAGTTGAATGCTCCACTTTCATCTGCGAACAAATCACGATGAACTGACACTCTTCCAATATTATCACTCGGTATTCGCATTGAATTGAAAGTTGACGTTGGATACACTGGGTCACAACCCGTATACAGAACGACACCAACTTCCAGGAGAATCCATAGATCCTTTATCTTCAATGAATGCGGATTTAAACTGCATAGATGAGCAAGCCTACAAACACCATGCGTTCAGTCAAACCTGTTTTAATTCTACTGCAGCCAACTGTTCTCATCCAACCAGCCTAAAGACTTAGTATAAGCGTCTTCGTACATCGCGATTCATCAATATACCCCTTCAAAATGGCATACTAATAACCCTTCAAAGTTCTGTATCAAAATTCTAAATAAATACTAACGGTAAGAACGGGATCAACAATAACATCAGCATTGTCCGTCTCAAAGCCGCTTACTTAGAAGGAAAACATAATTACGTTGTCATTCCTCCTAAACAATTGAACAATACACACCTAACGATTACGAGATCATTCCCGATGATTAACGAAGACGAAATTTGTTGGTATATTATATTTTATATGATCGTGCAAGGGAAATTGTCTTTTTTTAATACGCCAATATAACTGTATATTATTTTTCGATAAAAAATCCAAGAAAACGTCAAATTTTTCACGCTGTCGAATGGTATGTGCACACATTTACCGGTGTTTTCGTACATTGGGATTCCTTACAAAAGTACGAGCGTGTTCTGACATCCATTAATATCTTTATTTTTCATTTTCCCAAAAGGTTTGGAATAAAAGGAAAAACCGACGAGGAATACGATAAATCAAATCATTCATTTTGTATTATGTTTTGCTAAATGACTCCTTATATCGGAGAAAGATAACTAGATGCTGCAGGACATAGCGAGCTATCAAATAAGTATTTACTATCGGCGACGCCGTTTGGTTTCAACTTCTGGATGGTAACGTCTTACGGTCATCAATACTCCATTAGTGGGAGAGTGAACTTTAGTAGTAATTAAATAAGTAGATCTGTAAGTCTTCGACAATGATAATGGACACACCCCAGCAGACGTTCGGTCACACATTTGTACCAGATCACGAGTGGGTACGCCGTGCTACGTAATCCCTGCAACCATTAAAAGGATTAGATGATTCTCAACACATCACTTAGTGGAAGTTGTAGATTTTCTCAATCGTCTTAACCCTGATCCAATTCATATTGACTACTTGTGTATTTTCTACAGCTAGTTCACCTTATGAATTTATATACTTTTTGAACTGTATTTGCTTACAATCCTTTCGAAGCGAAAGATATCATAATACTACACAATTAAAGTGGTTATTATGACCAGTCAATGTGTATTATTTCAAACTGGAAGGTTGATGAAATAGGTTATGCACGAACAATAAACAAGAGAATGTTTGCACTGGCCAAATTAAGTAAGAACAGATAATATGAACTAAGCTGAAAGTGTTATAATGGCGCAAGAAATAATCCTGATAATTATTCTTTAAAGAGCGAATCTCTTCTACTTCTCATATCCTGAAGTCATTCACTTCCCAAACCACTACTAACTATTCATTTTTATTTTGTATAAAAGTACGTTCTCTCATCAGAACTGAATATATATATCGTCTTTTGATACTAAATTGTTTGGGGTCAGTAATCAGGTCTCGTGAACTGTTATTAGTCTCATTGAAAATTTCAAATTACATTTGACTATTCTTATGAGTTGTGAATTTCCATCAGTGCAAAATAACCACAGTTCGAAGACATTCTCAATGTGAAATTGGGACATGATATCGGTCAACCATAATAACAAGAAATGATATTCTGAATAGGTTTGTCAATAACCTGACAAACTGAACCTATGTAGTACAAATCTCATTGGAGTAGAAATTCTTATTTCCTACTTTTCGACTCTACATTCAAGTCTTACAGTCTACTAACCAACATTCTCTAACATCAATATTTCATAACTGTGAACTCAGAAAGGTGATAATCCATTGTGCTATGTTTCATTTATCGATGTTTTCAATACTGTAAGTGTAAGCTCGGCAAGTTTTAACTAACCAATCTAATGACACCACAGAAAATGTTCAACTAATGCTGACGCAACAGTTGTCGAATTTTCCCAGTGATACTATTCAAATTAGAGTTAATGAGAAGATTTCTCATGAATAATTTTCTTCACTCGTAAGTGAAAATCTTTATTCGGTCAAAATATTGACTTACCGAGTAAGTACTACAAAAACAAAATTATGCAAACACTTCTAAAAGCCTTTAAACTGTGCGGTTAGTCAGTCTGTGTGCATTCGAAATAATAAAGTGAATTCATCATAGTCTGGTCATTGAGGCTTCCAACTACCGCCTCGTTGAAATTCAGAACTGGATTTTCAGTGACATAAACACTACAGCCATCTTAAAATATTACTTGGATTCAGTAACTCAGTGGATCATTCGTTCTTTTAAAAAAGGCGCTAAATTTCAGCTTCAATGTAGTGTGGCGGACACACTCACCTGACCAGCCCGAAGTCAGACCAAACATACATCGCCGATTACACTACCAGTCATAATATAACTATTCGAAAGGAAAATTGTGTTCTATTAAAGTTTATTGATTTCCTAATTCATTTTGTAGATTCCAGTTTCACGTCTCACATATAACTAGATAAACTCCATTGATTTACGCATCATTTAGAATATTTTCGTATTCACATCATGGATACCATTCAATCTGACTGAAAATATTGTTTACCCATAGCAAACATCTACGCTATGCAAGTCCATTCTTCTTTGAAATAATGCTTTAAAGTAGGAAAATCATATGAGAGTCAAATAAATTATTTTCAATCAAACTACTAATTAACTTGTACTGATACAAATAATTAATTATTATCACTTCCAATCTTAGCACAATTTCCATATCTATGTGAGAGTCTGTGTATTTTTATTGACCTCATTAAAAATTAAGTTGGTCTATAAGAATTAATTGAACAATTATTAACATATCAACTGGTTGCTAAATCAATCCAAACTCCTTACAGGGTAATTGATTCACTGTCATAATCTCTGTTTTAATTAGTATAGAACACTGTAGAAGAACCTCATTCATTATACACTTTAAACAAGTATTAATACAACAAAGAATTCACGAGAAATAAGCACCATTCAAACAATTCGAACCCAGGACCTACTGGTTTCGCGCGCGAGCACTTAACCATTAGACCACTGAGCCGGCATCCAACGGTGTTAATGTCTAACTTCAACCAATCCACGAAGTTGCACCACCGTATACCATTGTCTTCAGTGAGCTGATATCTCACAACAGACCTGGTTGAACTCCACTGGTAACGGCTTCCCACTAGAACTCCAATTAATGTTTCAAATGTCACACTGTCATTATCTCTGTTTTAATTAGTATAGAACACTGTAGAAGAACCTCATTCATTATACTCTTTATACAAGTATTAATACAACAAAGAATTCACGAGAAATAAGCACCATCCAAACAATTAACTACGACAAATTATTAAATATCAAAAAATCAATAATCAGTTAATATTGTGATATCATCTAATATCCTTACATCGATAACTGTCAATCTAAAATCCGCTCATCTCAACATAATATAACAACACCAATCTATTCATTATTCATTTTCATCATACTAAATTATCATGTAATAAACACAACCACACCGCTCACAATTAATCACCAATCTCATTTAACTATATCATCTCACACACATCAAACATCAGTCCACCTTCAACAACTATCCCAACATCACAGTCAGTATTCCTCAAAGAAACAATCTAATCAATCAAAAGTCAGTCACATAAACACACGCTGAACACTTGAAAGTGTCCACAAAGTAATCAACAAAAGATAAATAAGTACTCGATAAAATAAAAATGCAGCAAAACAAAAGAAAAAACAAGGTTTCTGATCACAATTCTTCCACACTCGAACCAAATTGGGTAACACGGCCATGGCCGTCTGTTTATCCATAATATATGTGAGTGTGAGAGTGTACGTGTTTGTGTCCATATAAATGCATGTATGTATGTGTGTATGCATGCTTTAGCACCCTATGTGTACAATTACATAGTTGAATAGTTGTATATGCACGCATTATATACAAACACATAGGAACTCGATACAACAAACAACATACATACACAGTTAGATAGAAAGATAGAGTTAAAGCAAGGGAACGATGCGTACATTCATACAGAGGTCAACTAAGACTTCTCATTCCGCTCAGTCAATGCACTGTTCAACAAATTCCAACAAACGACGACCGTAGAATTCCGGCTTCACAGAACCACCATCAGCACCATGTTTCACTGTTTTGTAAGTTTGCGCTGTACGTTTACGCATCCCATAACGAGTTAGTATGTCGATAATAGCCACAAAATAGATCAGTGGATGAGGAGAATCTGTCAAACAACAAGGAAAACAGGATAACACAGCAATATAGTCCATATGAGTAGCAACATATTTCATCAAGATATATATATATATATGTATATATCAAAAATCTTTACTATTGAAACAATGTCTGCTGTTCACGCACTCCACTCAAACATCAGTCATTCAAACGACTTCCTTTCGATGCAAATTCATAAACCTACATCTTAAATGACGTGTACCGTGTGCATGTGTACATTTATTCAACAACAAACTGTTATGATAAACACAAATATCAGAGAACAATCGGATGAATACACACGGCAAAATATTGAATAGTCTACATCTAGAGCCTCCTCGTGTCTACCTATTATACTGGACTTTAAGGAGTGCACGAAATAGTCTCCATGCTGCTCCTATCTCATCTGTTCCCCTTTTACAACATTAACCGACCATAACTGATACCTCAATGCGATGGCCATGTTTCCTTAGTGTGATGACCCAATCGAACTGTTGGTTCGGACAATTGTTCCGCTACTACTCACTCCCCTATTCCGCACAGGTCGGTTGCAACGTCATTAAATTTATCGGGCTAATAAAAACATCCGTCGATTTCTACCGTACACCAGACTGATCCAGTCAGTCTCACTGAAAATGTTCACACTTCACTCATAGGTTTTGTAGAAACGAGAATTAATGCTCCACACACACACACACACACACAAACTTTAAACATCATGTATTTCATTGAAAAAACACAAACACAAAATATCCTCTTACCAATTGAACTTTTGATTCCATAATGTTCCAAAGTAGGATGCAATTCACCTGAGAATAATTGAGGTAGACATTCTGCACCAGGTGGACTATCCGGTGGGGTCAATTCACCTGAAACGAACAACACAGAGAATGTATACAAAGAAAACCAAACCAACTATTGAACTGCATCTTCGTCTATCTTCAAGTCTTTACATACAATTCTCATACAATCAAGCAAACATTAGTCCATCCGCGTGATGCGCAATACGATCAGCCATTATTCATGGACACACAGTACATCACCGCACATGCATGCGTTCATATCAATCCGACTCGCCACAGCTCAACTCTCATCAGCATTGTCAAAATGGAAGTAAACAAGATGAGCAACAGACAAACGGAACTACAAGTATTTTCACAAACAAGCAAACGGATCACCGAGATCCCGATATCAAGATCGACTTTTAGTCGCGTCACTCCAACATCTTCAGTCGCACAATATGATCACTCAGCTGATCACAAAGATGAATGGCCGAAACCAAGTCAGTTCAACTGCGCATTACGACCACTAAGCGAGCATCAACTACCGAGTCACCAATCAACCCCACACAGGTCACTCCAACAGTCACTGACTTCATATATCAAACAGTCTAATCACTTCGTTTACCTACCACTCCTATCTATCTATCTATCTAGTCTAATCTAATCTAATCTAGTTCTATCTAATCCATCTACCTTTCTACGTACCTTTCTTCCAATGTCAGGCATCGTTGTACGCACTGGATACACTTAGGTTGACATCAAGGCCACTTGAAATCATCAAAAGTAGAACAAGATACAAATTACCGCACGAATAATACATCAACGCACAACACATCCAGGTCATCATACTTGCACAACTACACACGCACACTGACAGGATGGAAGGTGAGAGAACCACCGAGTCATTCCACTTCAGTTGGAAGGAAATACCTCATAAGCATTGTCTATTTGGAGTGATTAGACAAATTCAGTGGAAAACATTACCAAACAACATCTTTCACCAGGAGAGATATGCACACACCCATTCCAAAATAATAATATAATAACAAAAAACAATTACCACTTCACAATAGTAATAACATCTCACTGCAATCAGTCTTAAAATGAATTCTCATCAAATGTACGTATACACATGTGCAGCATTGTTTGTTCAATCATGCACCCATCACACTAAACACACACACACACACACTCAGGAAAATCAGCTGAGAACTTCACCGTTTGCAATCAACTCATTGTACAATTCGCATAAACATACAATGTCATTTGTGGTTGATCAACATCAACCTTATTCACACAACTCCTCATCCAACAACACAAACCAGTCACACAATCAGTCAGTCGATGAAATCCAATTACAATTATAATCTTAATTAGTGCTAAGACAGAGTAGTCAGTCGAATTGAACTCTCTAACAACAAATGGAATAACACAAGAATAACAATATCACACATACTTGTAGGGACTTGTGTATTGTTCTCTGGTATACTGATCCCGTCCTCCTCTTCATCGTCATCATCACCTGTGCTCGCATTCCCAGTACCAACACCACAACTAGCAGCCTCGGCAGCTGCTGACGAGCTCAAACCAAGCACAATACTTGATCTAGCCATCGACAAACGACCACATTGCCATTGTGAGCTAAGTGTTCCAAGACCGTCACCTGCAGACACCATCCTATCATCGAAGCCTCGACTGTTAGGCTCCAACACACCACCACCAGTCCCTTCACCGTCATCACCAGCATCCTCATTGAATTAGCCAATGCAATCTCAGGATTATGCACCCCAATAAGAAGGCTGTAGTCGATCAGATTGTTCTCCTGTAAGAACTGTCATGAGGCAAAAAAAAGAAACAAACGAACACAATCACAACATTGTGCATCACTAAGTAATCCAATACATGCATGTCGAATTTCCACCACAAACCAGAGGGAGACATCAACAATCAAATGCACATCATCTCAATTCATTCACTCAATACATTGATTACCAATTCAACCAATTCCTATTCAGTATGACACAATTCAGTCGTTCGACACTCGTTACTGAGATATCATTTCATAATATACACTGCACTAATGATATAACACTGATCGCTGTTCAAATACTATCGTTGCTCATTCATATTTCGAGCAATAATCAAAAGTCACAGTTAGTTACCAAAACAAGATTATGGAAAAACTGTTTATTACTAACTCAATGATAAACTACTGTCAATTTATTATCAGAACACATAGCTCGGTCTCCATCTTTACCTACTACCATATTCTTAACACAGGAATCACTTACTCGGTCCTCCCAAAATACACCAGCAATGTTTCCAAGACACCGACAACCAAATACTAGGAACATAAGAATACTCTCTATTCTTAATGGTCGTATTTCACGACCGTAAAGTCTCCAACTCCCCTAGGTAGATCCTTCATCACCACCAACCAGGTTAAGCGCCAGACATTCGCCTTTCGTCCTCTCAACTTCGTAAATAACACCCGCGCCACGAGAAAGCAGTGAGTAGCACTTCCTTGATAGTGATTGTAAGCACGTGGCCATGTAAGAGCGTTTCGAGAGAGAGAAAGAGTGGATTCTCCCCACTCTCGGTTGTACCAGCGCATTTCGGGGTCGTCTCCATAGGTGATGTATGCTGGTAAAAACCAAACAAGCTTCTTCAATCCGTGCAAAGATTTAGTCAGACACCAACAGATTGGTGCTGATCAGACTTCGAAGATAATTGAAGTTTTCGACGCGTTCGACTACTTCACTCCCTATCCTTAGTTCAAGTGTTGAAACAGGTCAGACCTGAAAAGCAACAATTTCCATCTCAAGTAGAACAAACACATCCTAAACATCCAGGCATTGTTACTCAGTGCTACCAAAACACTCTGCATTTCATCAGCGTCTTCGTTAAACAGGACTATGTCATCTGTGTATTCTTAGTCGAAAAGTGGACCTCTTAGTAGCAGATCAATGCCCGAAAATCCAGTCGATGAGAGCGTTATTTCCATCAGTAGGTCTATGACAAGGTTGAACACAAATGGAGATAGTGGACAGACTTGATGGACACCATTTGACGTTGCGAAGTCAGATAACAGTTTGCCACAAGCTCTGACTCGACTGGTAGTGTTCGAGTAAAGAGCTTTCTCAAGGTTTTGTACTTCTGAGGTACGTTTTTCAATGACAGACACTGCCACACAACCTCCCGGTCTACAGAATCAAATGCCAGATTTAAGTCAAGAAAGACCAGCATTCCCGAACGCCGATAAGCATGTTTGTGTCCTAAAAAACCGACGAATGGTGAATATGTGGTCGATACACCCACGACCAGGTCTCAAACCAGTCTGCTTTTCTCGTGTTTGCACGTCACGAGTATTTGTTAGGAGCCCGATAATTACTGACGCTAGCATTTTAGATGTTATTCAATGGAGTTTTAAACAGGTTCACATTACAACACAGCAAACCAACGTAGCACAGCCGTTATTAGCAACGTTCTAGATATCCACGTGTAACAAGGTGTATCAGAATATGTTGCACCGATCTCATGCAAATTACACACACACAAATGGTAGGAGACACTCAGGATGAAATCAATTCTAATATTAATTGGACGATTCCGATTACCTCCCGTTATGATGCATCGTACACCTCTCTACTCAAACACATGTTAACCACTGCACATATATGCACAGATTGTGACAACACACATATTGGTATTCATGATAGTAATAATAGTAATGGTTGTGAAATCTCAGATGATCAATGAATGCAATCGAAAGTGTTACGCAGTATAACAAACACGATTTAGAACTAAATAAAATGTCTAGACACCTTAACTGTTTCACGACGCAGCATACGACATACAAATACCTAGATCACATTAAAAGTAAATTACAACGGTACAACAACTCTGAACACAATGTAGATCTGTGCTATTCACAAATTCAATAATTCATACGTTAGTAATGAAGATTGAAAGTGTAGGTGTAGACAGTTGTAACACATCACACCATGTGCTACAACAAAACAGTACTCCTAGTAGTGTTACCACGTCACATGTTTCCTTCATGTGATGCGTACAGATCAGCATAGAAATTGCGGAAACACAAACAACCACAACAATAAGAAGCAGAGAAGCGAACTTTTCAAGGTCTCGCTGAAATCATATTGATGAAACTATGTACACTTCATTAGCGAAAAGAAGCGAAAAAAGACAGAGTAGAAAATAAAATGTCAGGTTCATTCTCATCTTCCGATGTAATAAAAAGAACAACAGAATAATAAGAGCAAACTAATTGATAATTAGAAGACACAAAAAAGATATGACGAACTCAAAAGCTCAAATTTTCAAGAACAGACAAACAGTAGATGCACCCGGACCATCACAAACGATTTCCAGCCATGTCATTCAAAGTATATGACCATTCGTTACAATAACCATACGGACCCTAACCAGATAGTCTGCACCAATTCACATGGCTCAGTCCAATTGTTAACAACTTCATGGACTGATGCCATGTTTCGGTTTGTCGACTTCTAACTTTCTTCCATACTATTTCTACACCACACAATATCGTCCGTTGAGATCGGTGGTGGTTGAACACACGTAACATATGTCGCAACCACCCCAGTCGATGAAGAAAGCTAACGCAAAGTTCGGTCTCCACCTTTACCTACTACCATATTCTTAACACAGGAATAACTTACTCGGTCCTCCCAAAATACACCAGCAATGCTTCCAAGACACCTGCAACCAAATGCTAGGAACCTAAGAATACCCTCTATTCTTTAATGGTCGGACGCCTCGAACAACCATTAACGCTAACATTTTGGACACTACATTAGTTAAACCGGTTCCTTTGTGATTGTCACAAGTAAAACAAAGGCCAGTTGAACTGTTCCCTAAAGTGTTCCGTCAACCGATCCAATCCCTGCACTGAGAGTCAATAGTAATCCCAGCTTTTACCTGCCTAGTCACACTAACAGAAGGATTTTTAATACACACACCCTTGATAAGTCTGAACAGTTATCTACTGTTACCTATCGACGATGCCTTTTTCATCTCTTAGGCTTTCACTACTCACTCACCACTGCTCATAATCATAATCAATATGCACAGTGAATACGAACATGCTCACGAGATTTGCATACACTGACACAAAATTCTCACCTCTTCTACTGCATTAAGTGATATGAAATCTACTAAGCAAATCTCCTCAGGGTTATGTCAGTCAGTCAGTCAGTAACAACGTAGAACTTCGTACGTACGTACATCAGTTCGAGTTGCCACACCACATTAGCACAGAGATGCACTTGTCGATTCAAATCCCGTAGTGGTAGAGGTAATAAGAGTATAAGCAGTAATCGGGAAGATTAGGGTTTGGAGATGTTATTTAAAGAGTATAATCCAGTGAAAGAAATTTGGAAAGAGGAAAAAAAGGGACATGAAGAATTCAGAAGATTAGAATTTGGGAGAACACAGAGAGTGGATGCACCTGCGCCATTGCAAACGATTTTGAGCCATGTCATTCAGGGTCTCTAACCATCGGTTGCTATCATCTCGCGGTCCCCAACCAGGTAGTCTACACCTACCAACATGACTCAGTTCACTTGTCAGTGACTTCATGGACTTGTGCCATGTTTTGGTTTGGCCGCCCCTAGCTTTCTTCCAACCTACTCCTATACCACTGAACATAGCACGTCGAGGCAGTCGGTCGTTGGGCATACGTAACACGTGTCCCAGCCATCTCAACTGATGAAGTTTCACTACTTCATCAATTGATTTGCCATCCTTACCTAGTACCCGTTTCCTAACAACTGTGTTACTTACTCGATGGTCCCATGATATACGAGCAATGTTTCGAAGACACCTATGATCAAATACTAGTAACCTACGGATATCCTCTACTCTTACCGGCCATGTTTCACTGCCATAAAGTAGGACGGAACGAACTGCTGCGCAGTAAACACGTCCTTTGGTTGATAGACGGATATCTCGCCTACGCCATAAATGACGCAAGTTGGCAAAAGCTAGTCGAGCCTTCTGTATCCGTGCTGAGATTTCGTCACACACTAAACCACAAGGGCTGATGAGACTTCCAAGATAAGTGAAGCGGTCGACACACTCAACTACTTCACTCCCTATCACTAGTTCGGGTGTCGATGTAACCCAATCCTGAAGCAACATTTTGCATTTCGAGGGAGAGAATCGCATCCCGAACATGCTTGCATTGTTGCTTAGAGTGGTCAGAAGACTCTGCATTTTGTCAGCGTCTTCACCAAATAAAACTATGTCATCAGCATATTCTAAGTCAACAAGTGAACCTCCTGGTAGAAGTTCAACCCCTGTAAATTTAGATGAGGAGAGTGTTATCTCTAAAAGTACGTCGACCACAAAGTTGAACAAGAATGGGGAGAGTGGACAGCCCTGACGAACACCACTTGAGGTAATCAATTCTGATGACAGTTCGCCATAAGCTCTCACTCGACCAGTTGTGTTCGAGTAGAGAGCCTTTATAAGGTTAATGTACTTCTTTGGTACTCCTTTCAGTGACAAACACTGCCATAGAACCTCACGATCAATCGAGTCGAATGCCGCCTTAAGGTCGAGAAATACTACCATTGTGGGGCGTCTGAATGTGTGTCTGTGTTCTAGAACCTGACGTAGTGTGAATATCTGATCTATACAACCACGTCCAGGTCGAAAACCAGCCTGGTTTTCTCTAGTCTGCTCTTCACGAGCTTTAGTTAGGCGTCGAAGTATTATTGAAGCTAATATTTTAGACACTATATTAGTCAAACTGATTCCTCTGTGATTGTCACAAGAGGACTTTTGTCCTTTCTTAAAAACTGGCACAATCAGTGATTGAGACCAGTCAGATGGGATTACGTCCAGTTCCCAAATTCTACCTAAGACCTCAGTTAATCTCATTGCTAATACTGGACCACCATCCTTAAAAATCTCAGGAGTAAACCTGTCAGGGCCTGCTGCTCTCCCTCGTTTCAGATTTCCTATGGCTTTTTCAACTTCGTAAAGGGACGGAGGACCTACATTAACTTGCCATTCAGGTTGACTGGAGATCGTGGGAAACCGAAGTGTGGCTGAAGGCCAGTTGAACTGATCCCTAAAGTGTTCTGCCCATCGATCCAATCTCCTGGATTGAGAATGAATAATATGTCCATCTTTCTCTGAGATTGTTTCGCTAACGGTCGGGTTCCTAATTCCGGTTTCCTTAACGAGTCTGAACAATTGTCTGCTATTACCTATTGCCGCTGCCTTTTCCATCTCTCTTGCTTTCGCTACCCACCACTGTTCGCGATCATTGCGTAGACTTCTTGTCAGCTTGCGCTTAAGCTGACTCCGCTCTTCATTATGTTCAGAGCCAGGTGGAATGTGTTTCCGAGCATCTATCAGTGAGATAGATGCTGCTGAGATCCAGTGTTGCTCCCTAACCTTCTGGTTTACCTTACTAGCAGATATCACTGCTGTTTCCACAGCTTTTCGGATATCATTCCATGCTGCATCGGGGTGGGCATCACATACATGGCTGCCTAACTGTTTTCCTAGTTGTTCCTGAAATATACTCTTAGCTTGACTATCATTAAGTAGGGCCCTAAGAGGTTTCCTTGCAGGATCTTTCCTACGTCCAGTAAGACGCAAGCAAATACGCGCTCGCACTAGAGCATGATCTGAATCTAGGCATGTGCTCCAGAATGAGCGACAGTCTTCTATCGAGCCCCTCCATCGGTGGCTGATAGCGATGTGATCTATTTGGGTCCAACGTTGGGACGAATTAGGGGGTCGCCATGTTAAAAGATGTTTTTCCTTATGCTTAAAGTTAGTATTTGCAAGGAACAGGCGGTTATCTGAGCATAGCTGCAACAGACGGTCGCCATTATCTGTTCTTTGAGCCACGACACCATAAGATCCACCTAGGTGTCTTTCCTTATCACTTAGTTTACCTACTTGAGCATTAAAGTCACCGGCCACTATTACTACATCCGAGCGCCTAGCTTTTCGGAGAAGGTCCGAAAGCTTTCTGTAAAACTCATCTTTTACATCATCTGAGCTGCAGTCAGTGGGAGAATAGGCAGAGACGACGAAGAGGCAACGACGAGTGTCCCTATCTTTCCGGATTCTTACTGTTCCGTTCAGTCGGACAGCGCACAAACGACTGTCTACTGGGATCCACTCTAAGAGAGCTAGTTCTGCCCTAGGACTCAATGCTATACCTACGCCGGCGAGGCCACGGGAAGCAGAATCAGGGCTTCCAGATACACGAAGCGTAAATCGAGTCGGTTCTTTATTTTGGCATGGTGAGGTCAAATGAATGACGCTACTTGGATCCTGTATGCGCGTTTCGGAGACGCAGCACACATCGATGGCGCGAGATTCTAAAGTTTTAGCTAAGGAAGCCTGCTGTCCTATTTGGCAAAGTGTTCGTACGTTAAAAGCTCCTACGTGTAGTTTAGAGCGTGGTTTCAGGAGACCAGGAATGGCGTTCCACGTACTCGAATCGTTTGCCCTAGCGGTGCGAGGTGATAAAGAGACGTGAGGAGGGTTAGTCGGGAGGATAAGAGAAGTATTAGGAGGTGTAGGAAGGATTTGAATGTGACCACCTTGGTCTCTTGTGCTGTTACGGGTATGAGGGCTGATGTCACTTCCCGGCTGCCCACACCGTGGAAGGGTATTTCTTGAGGAACCTGAAAAGGAAATTGGATTAGTGTTGGTCTTGACGACCTGGGAGCGTGACCGCAGAGCCCAAGGGACAACTGCTTGAGGCCGGTCGCGCACGGCCTTTTTGTGGAAGGTTTTTGACGTGTTAGCTCCGTTCTTCAAAGGGCCTTACCGCCGGAGACGGAAATCCGTGAGGTAAGGTGAGGTGTGCATTTTTAGGGTCGACCTTTTCTAACCCCACCCCTCCTTGTGGGAAGGCAGCATCGCTGTCATGCTGGTTGTCCGAGGGAAACACCTTACTGCTGTCACACCTCTCTACAGTCAGCAGTACGACTTCGCCCTCAGACCTTGAGTTGCTGCTTTTAGTCTTACCGTTCGCCAATCGACCTGCCTGGCATGGTAGAACCTGCAGGAACATATGTTCCAGCCAATATAGCTCGGTTGGGTCATCACGATAGGCAAGCCCGATCACCGCGTCAAGGTAGCAGCTTCGATCGAGCAGGGTTATGTACGAAGTCAATGGTTTGTCTGACGGCCAAATGTTTTACAAACGACAAATATCACCATACTATGGATTAATAATAACACATAACGATAAGCAGCATACTGTACTCTCGAATCACAATAACTGTAAATATCTTCAATAGGAAACTCCCACCAAACAACACTAAGAAGAAAATTTCATAATTATGACACAGTAAAATCAACTAGTCACATGAAAGTGAGGGGAATAACTATGATTATGATTATGAAGAAGATTAGAGTGGTGATGAAGATGGCACAGTCGATTGTAGGAAAGTGCATCCAAGTGTGGAATTCATTGTCAAGAACAAAGTAAAACATATTCTATACATCTGTGAAATCTCGATTCTTTCTTAAGTACCGATGACATGACTACTTCAAGAGTACACAAGCACTACATGTGATCTTGTCTTATTGAAAGTAACCATTTAAATGTGAAACTGTCACACCACTACCAATCACAAACTCTACACACTTCCCAACAGAATACGAACACACGGTCAGTCAGTGTTCCTATTCATTCACTTCACAATTACGACTCATTTCCAACTGGCAGTATACACAGAATATAACTGCAAGACCTCTTCGAAAATCTGTCACATACTTAAAAAATCAATCTACACAAAACCGACAACATAATGGTAAAACAGATGCATCATGCACTCTGCCAATCAATCAATCAGTGAAGCAAGCAAGCAAGCACCTACTTGTATATCACATTCCAGAGTACTCAACATCTTCTTTTTAGACTCTTCACCAATATGCATTTTGCACAAATCTGTTAGAAAATCTGCATCTTTCAGAGTTGGCAAGGGCTTCGACTATACAAATAGTAAAAACACAGATCAATTAATACACAGTGAAGTGAAACAAGTCAATGTATGAGTGATTCACACTTACTTCGATCATTTAGTCTTGGTAGTCAATGTGATTACGCACATAAACGATTGGTGTAGCTACTTCACTTATTACTCTCCCGATCAAACAAAACTTTTCGTAACTTCATAATGAAAACCTACCCAACTTGCAAACATCGGTAACTCACACGCATCCCAGTGATTCATGTCAAACCAGACTACAACTCTTTCATAGTTGACAATATGTGAAAATATTGAAGACTGAAATATCGACGGTCAATTAAAGTTGAGAAAACTCCAACACTTTGCTAAGTAATGTCTGATATGACTACAGGGGACATTCACACTTACAGTAGAGAAGCCTTCTGAGCAAGACACATCTCGTCTTCAATAGATGTCAACATACTCAGTCGGTATCAATACTAACTTTCCAGAAGTTGTCGATTATCCTCATCAACTATCCTCAATTCATATAAAACCACACATGATCAGATGAAACATTATAACACTATCTTATATGACATCTACACGGTGGTGATGAACTCGAACGCAGATGATGTGCCCAAATTCATTTCTAAGTATCAAGTTTTTCGAGCAACAAAGTCAAACCAATTCGAGATTCTACAAGGACCGATTGACATTAAATAATGATAATAGAGTACACACAATATCATCGCTAAGAAGTCTCTCCTTTCGGCAAAACGATTAAGAGGGAAAGATTCGCAATTCCACATCAAGTGAAGAGACTGCATTTCCTCTCTGTCGTCTACAACAACAAACGACAACTCAGTCACCTCAATTGTCCTCTCTTCGAAAACACATCGCAACCTGCTGTTCACTACCTTCACACGATGCTCATCACACCAAAATATTTACCACTTTCAATAATGGTGCCAAAACAGGATACATTCTATGCTTTATTATACAAATTCAACTATTAGATTTTACTGGTAATTTGCACATTTCTACTTTGTTTACACTCAATCACTGAACAAAATAATTGGTATCACAAAAATAAAAACAAAATTAAATTCAATACACATGATAATCATTCACAATGGTGATAGATTAAAAGAATCAGAGGGAGAGACAATACTAATATTTTTGTTTAAATGCACAAATCCAAACACACGAGCACCTTGAAATGAAGCGACACAAGGAGGGGAACAATGGCGTTAAGGAGGAAACAGGTGGTGCACAAATGTTACCAAGTACACAACAACAACAACAACAACAACAGCAACATAATACGTTGTTTAACTATAGTCGGAGAAAGATGTACACAACAATACGGCACGTACAGTGAAAGCATGATATTATGCACAACAATCATATATTCACACGAAGTTTTGTACAATGAAAATGTAGCACAGCAAATATCGTTGTTGTAAGTAGGAGATAAATAAATTCAATGTACTTATGACCATTGTGGCATTATACCAACAGTTGGCAGATAAGACTACTACGACAAGCCAACATGATGATAGCGATGATAATTACTGCCAATCATAAATTTGGGCAACACTAGGCAAAACGACACACGTTAGATGATGAGTACAGTCCAAAAACAATAGTCGAGACAGGTGAATGATTACCACTACTGTTGTGTCCCGAAAAGAATAATGAGTGGTAGTTTTTTGGGATCTATTTGTGGACCAATACTACTATACGTATATTTTTATCGTACGATGTGGTCTGCTTGACCGGTATAAAACAGAGTATGTTTGAAATACATGATTCATATTGCAGAGGCTGAGATTGGCGTTCCGGACTTAACTGGCTGGGCTAGGCGGAAAGTAGGAACAATCAGAACTCTAGGCTGCTCGCGCGTGTTTTACGCATCCTTGATCCGATCGATAATTCGCTGCTTCTGATTGGCGGCTTTGGGCTATAACAACTACAGAGACAAAAACAGTAGTTAGCACCTACGTTCATGAGAAGTTACATAAGAATCCAACTAATTATGTTGATGGAGTTTTGTTCTCTGAGCTGGATGGTTTGGTCGTGGAGCTTTCATCGTTCTTCTCAACGACATCATCAGCACAAATTTCAGAGAACAAAACTCCACCAAAACAATCCACCTGAGCTACAAATCTTCTCCACTATCTCAAAACTAATTATTACTTCAAAGTTTACACCAAAAGCAGAATTATCTACACAAGGAAGGTGACCGTGTGAAAATACTATTGATAGGTCTTCATTTAAAACGCATCTGTGACTGTTTGCCAGAATATTCAAATAAGCAAACCATATAGAAATATGAAAGTTGTTTCAACAATGCGTCCAATGCACCTATAACGAGTACAACGTGTCTACCTGTATGTTTGTCTCGAAGTCAAACTCACTGTATGACAGTAAAACTAACATCTGGATAGCACAACAGCCAACGTGGGACAGGATTTATAATTGAGATCTAATGGTTGAATGCCAAACAGAAAACCCGTTGCACACAAGTTTAACCAATGTTTAATATCTTCACAACTGTGATCACTTTTCAGAACTTGGTCAGCTAGGCTCGCAGACAAAAAGTGGTTTGAAGTGTCAAGTGTTAAATATTTAGAAACAGCAACACACTTAGTCAAGGTGATTCCGTATGAGACAACACTGTGTTTATTTGTGTGTATGATGGTGGGTATATAAAATGTGTAATTTGTACTATGAAGGGTAGAGTTAGTATTTCAGCTGTATGTGTGTAGATGGTGTGGAAAATGGATAGAGTTAAATGTGGTTGTTTGGAGAAACATTCCAGGCTGGATGCATGGTCAAGCCTTTTTTCCCTATTGTTGGAAGAGGGACTTAGCATCATATGCAGTGTTTCAACTGCTCTCTTCTTTCTAGCTGGAAGAGCCTTTCTACATTATCTTGACATTTTCAATATATCGATTTGGTGATTATTAGAAATAACATGTACTGCTATTCACGATATAATTTCCACGTCCTTTATCCCTACGGGATTATTATTTCTTTCGTGTGGCTTAGGTGTTCCTTGATAAGAGTCAAGATCTAACAAAAGACTCTCCAATATAGAACGCATCACATCAACACAACACAATCTGTACACACGATCTTGTCTAGATGTAAACGGGGTCTCATCTTTCATTCCAATTTAAGAGTTTCGTGGAGTATTGGTTGTTGTTTTTTTTCATAGAAAGCTTCGATTCTGTGTTTTCAAGATCATTCGTAATTCTTCAATCGCACCTTGGCGATAAGGCAAATCCACAGTACCAATAAAAAATCTTCCATTAAAACTGTCTTTTATAGATGGTTAATTTCGTTTTAATATGTTTTTAATAGTATTTATAGGACAATTGTCAGATCGTAAGTTGTTGATTATGTTGTCTTTTCCCTCCATCTTGCCCTTCATGTATACAGTTAGATTTAGATTTCCACTAGGATTTCTTTTAACGAAACAGTCCAAGAACAGTAATTCGCTATGTTCATCTTCCTTTTCGAATGTAAATTTGATGTTTGCTGAGAACGTATTTATCAGCTCAAAGAAATTTCACAGGGGAATTCTCAATGACGACAAATGTGTCATCTACATGTCTGAGCCTGATGCGTGGTCTGATGGTAATGGCAAAAGTAACCGACTAAATATGGAACATAAATAAATTAGCAACAATCCAAGACACTGAAGATCCTATGGCCACTCCACTTGTTTGTTTATTTCAAGTCCCACTGAAAGTCAACAGAGTTGAATTCAAACATAGTTTGGAGGATTTCATGATTGAACTAGTGTTTAACGAACATCACAAAAGCATGATTATTTTATCATTATATTCTACGCTTGTTCTTTATCGACTGATAATTGTTCAACATGTGAATATATACAAATAATGGAAAATACTTGTCACTGGATTTACGTATATTCAAACTGGCATCTATGAGCTCTACACTTTATTTGGAAAACACTCCAATCACCACCTACACATTGTCTCATCAGTAATATCGCAAATTTATATCGTATTATATAGAAATTATACTCATTAACGCAACAGACTTTATCACCAGTGATAAGTGAACAGGCACACAAACACTCAGAGTTCTCAATTACTTACATGATAAAGTTAAAATTACACAATTAACTATGAAACAGGGGTCCGAAAACATAACAGGATTTATGCCGTTTTGTCACTTGACAATTGCTAACTTATTTACAACCTATCTAGCTTAATTGTCTAGTCAGCCAGTCCATTGGTTAGTCTGTTAGTTGTTTAATTTATTCGCTCCTCTATGTATGACTGGTATACTCACCGAATAAAATAAACGAACAGAAACAACCACTTGTTAGGCGTTAACAGAATCATAAAACACTCTTGAAACGTTGTAAGTGTGCACAAATAGAAAATAAAGCGTTAGAAGTGTCAACATTTCATCGTTGTCCTGTGTAACAATCACAAGGAAAATAAATACGCTCACTAAAAAAGAATGTTAGTGGTCAGTAACTGATACGTTATTCACTAGTTCAAACACACTGAAGAATCTCAAGTGTATGTGAGGGATAACTTCGGAATCTACAGGACACTGACAACTAAACTGCCTTTTCTATTCCGCTACACACCCAATCACGAACACAAACGCAATCAGTCGAACGCATATACAAGGATTTTGGTTAGTTCAGTGTGAGTAGCAATAAAAAGCTACGCATAAGAGAGCAACACACTTCACACCATCAGGGTATTAAAAAGGAAACAAATCAAACGGTGAGTAGGTTGATGCATGTGTAAAGTTACAATAACATGACATACACCTGTGGTACTTTGAAACGAATGCTTTTTAATCCGTAGACGACGTTTATGCTCCTTGTTTAAAACTGTCACAGGATTGTCAATGTTGGTCTTGGAACTCGGCAATTCAGTCGACCCATGAGCGACGAAGGAATGAATACTTACAGAACGTTTCACATGATGACTTGAATACAGAATATTCTACAGGTGAAAATGTGGAAAGCACACAAAGACAAATAACTCTGCACCTATTGGAGTAAACTACACAAAGTCATACATCCATCCTCAAAAGTCACTATGTCAAACTTACTCATTCACATTTAAAAAAATTCATACACACAAAATCAACCACAACTAACTAATAATCAACAGATCGTTACCTTCAAATCATATTTCTTGTGAATCGCAAGTCTTGGGCTGAACACATTCCTCATTACTAAGATATACGACTCCTGATCATTCACTGTAAGTCGATAAAGTCCAAGAAATTGAGGAAGCAGTGTTTGGCCGTGTCCTTTGACAATGTACTACAAGAAAGAGACACATTAAAAGATAACAATCAATCAGGCGGTATGTCAATAACAAACGATAATCGAAATTCGAACCACACTGAGAGCAACACCAGTTCAACCTTTAATTGTTCGACATTCTGACATTACTGCAAAAGCAAGTTTCTTTTTCGATGCACACTGGAACCATCTGGTTGCTACAACCAAATAACAGTAGCGTTTTGTGATGAATTACGAGCAACATTTACTGACAGCCTTTACATTGCATCAGATACAACAATGCACATGACACAAGAGCTTATGGTTATGTCATAAAAAACAAATCTAACTCATGAATCTAACAAACCATTCTACCTATTCAGCATTATGTACCGTTAATTTACTCATCAAATTAAACTACACCGACAGTTCCTGGAGGTAAATACGACTCAAACAAATGCACATCTGTGTCAGCTTTTACTTTGTGTATAACTGAATAACTGACTCGCTTGTTAAATGTTTGACCTCTCCGTCAATAAGATTAGTAGATTGTCTAGAAGTGGGATAAGTACAAGCATAAGCGCCCGAACGCCCTGGTACGCCGAGGGTAGGGAGAGTTAGCTATACCTCTCAAAACGCTCCCACATGGTAACGTGCATACAACCACTACCAGGGAAATCATACTCACTGCATTCTCGTGGCGCGGGTGTTATTTAATATGTCGAGAGGATGAAAAGCGAATGTCTGGCGCCTGAACAAGGCTGGTGGACACATAGAGTCCACCTGAGGGGAGTTGGAAAACCCTCATTCCAAACCAATAGTGCACATGGGATACAGGATCCTGATGGAACAAATGACGTGGGAACCCATTGTTGATCACCGGCTACCATGGCACTGCATCTCCTTAGGTCGCTTCACCGCCTTGTGGATCAGACCTTTAGGTCGAAGGCTCCGGGTGTGGTCCCCTAAGAAAACCACCTGCTTTGGTTTGGACACACTGGCAGTATCACAGCCCACACATAAACCAAGCCTCTTCGTACCAATCTTTATGTGTTCAAATAAATAATGAATTAAAACACCCTCAACAACTCACATTTCCTCTCGTTTCTGCAAGTACAGACAACCACTCCCAATTAAAACATTCATCACTGTGATCGATTGACAAGACAAATAATAATCACACTTTAATCGAATTCGTCTTCCAAACGTCTACAAACCTCATCTTGCTACACTGCACCAACTTACTCCAAGGAAACAATCAAATCAGTTGGCCAAATGAATCGAACAAATGCTTCACTACTTACCTTCATCATCAACAAACAATAGTTGACTATAAATAGACATTCGCTTGGGCAACACTGGCAATTACCACACACAACACAATTAATATAAGCTCAAAGAGTTTCTAAGCTATCTGTAATAGGCATTATCTGCACATCTGTTGTGAAATGTGTACAGCTGAAGTTTGCGTTCAGAACAACTTTTGTAAACACTAAAATATGGTAAAAGGATAATGCACCAATCTAGGTGGGAAACACTAGGACAAGGAAGGATCCGATCATCTCATGACACTGTAAACATTGGAATAACAGAAATGTAACTAGACAATAATATTCATTGTCAACCATTTACAGATAAAATTGTACAATAATATCCATCTGCAAGAATCCAACGGATAATCATCACGTAGTTGAATCGTTTGGCGGACAATCTATAGTACTTAATCAGCTCAATAAGTAACTAGTCGATGCATTTTGTAAATCCTCAAAAATGAATGTGCTCATGTTAAGTGGATCGAAATTAAGAGAATATGTTGAAAACTTACACCAATCAGTCAGTAAATATTGGTCTCTATCACAACGTAACACTGACTTCTTATCGCCTAACTACTAGTTAACTGGCTTCTACAGGTCATCACAAATCACTCATCATGATGATAAAAGCTGATGGTAACACACTCCAACATTGATTCTGCTAACAGGAGTTTGTTCAGCTTTTAACTGAATGCACTATTACATCCCAACATAGTAATATCCGGCGACCAAAACCAGTGCTTCATTGTTGTATCAGAACAAATACCAACCAAATCATCCACTCTCCGGTTAGTATAGCAAACACTTACAGAATAATATTCTTCTAACATTTGATGCATTTGTTCAACTTCTTCTGAACTGATTGTTTTGGCTACAAATTGTCGGTTATACGTGACTAGAAATTTCGATCCAGATTTTCCACGCGTACTATCCCACAATGGTTGGTGTCTGGTGAAAGAGTCCTGAAGTACAAATCAGAAGTAGAAGAACTCTGTATACTAATGACAAATAACCAAATGTAATCTATTTATGAGAGCTGTTCGTGATGACCAGTCAAGAATTGGTCACTCTGAGTAGGAATCGACATATTCGACACCTGCAGTAAATACAGTGTTATGGAACTCTGGATTCGTCAACACTATTCCATCTAAAAGTGGATACTTACAATGCTCTAGTTTGGTTGACATTCGTCTTGCACCACATAGTGCACAACTAAATGCTAAACAATGAGAACAGTTTCCTGACTACACTCTATGCACCGATCACTTGATACAACGACCCACTTACACCATTGAGTATCTGAATACACACCCAGTACAGTTAACATATAAACCGACGAACACTAGTTGACATTCTGGCCTCTTTCATTGAATGCTTCACCAACGCGTAATGTAACTCCCATTTAAAAGGCTGCCAATTATCTGAATATATTAACTAACAAATCATATCACTCTCACCAATTCAGGCTCAATTACTGTTCATTATGTCTTTATTGTCGAGGGCAAGCATTCATTTATAATTAGCACTCAGTCAACAAATACCAAACGAACCACCAATTTCCTTTACAATCTAACAACAATACTTTTATGATGCTGAACCCAGTTAATTCAATGTTGGACACAACCAATCAATCAATTCTACATTGATATCACCAAATAATACGGCTTATACAAAAGAGCTAGGATGGAAAACGGTACAAGATAATTTTAAAACACATCACATGTTGTACTGTTGATTGATAGAAACACACAACATTCACTCAATAAAAGTAAAAGCTAGAGAATGGACATGACATTTGAAAACATATGAACGATATTAGGCATTGACAACTACATATTTGCAGGCATATTGTTGGAGAAAGGATAATAAGACAACTGTTTAACTGTTGCAAGTATTGCCTCCGTAGATAACTATAAATCCATTTCGATGATGAAAATTCATCCACACACTCACACAACTAATAATGCAACTCATGGATATGTTCTCAAAATCGAGTGCAGTTTATTGTCTGAGTGACTGGCAGGATTCTAATCCTGTACTCACCCTGGGTGGTGAGCAGATAGAAGTAGTCGAAAAGTTCGTGTATCTAGGTAGCTGCATAAGTGCTGGTGGTGGCGTGAGTGATGAGATCAATACACGTATAGTGAAAACCAGAGCGGCTTATGACAATCTGAGCCATCTTTGGTGCCTTCGTGATGTCAGTCTGGATGTAAAAGGTCGGATCTACAACGCGTCGGTGAGAGCAGTTCTGCTCTATGCTTGTGAAACCTGGCCTCTCCGAGTTGAAGATGTTAGATGACTCTCTGTGTTTGATCACCGTTGTCTCCGAAGGATTGCTGACATCCAGTGGCAACACCATGTCAGTAATGCAGAGGCTCGGCATCGTGTGTTCGGGCACAGAGATGACAATTCAATTGGCGTTACCATCTTGAAACACCGACTTCGGTGGATTGGACATGTTCTCCGAATGTCGTCCCAGAGAATTACACGTCGTGCATTATTTGCCGACTCTGGGACTGGTTGGAAGAAGCGGAGAGGTGGTCAGTGTATGACATGGTGTCGTGATATGAAAGAAAGCTGTAAAGGACTGGCTTGTGTTGGTCCTTCTTGACTCCCTGGTTGGGGTCCGAGAGATGGTGCAACACAGTGGCTAGAGACGTTATCATATATGTCTCAGAATAGAAGCCAGTGGCGATCCTGCTGTAACTTTATTTTACTTTCTTCATAAAAAGTGGTTGTAACTTCCTTAACTGAAAGATTTCTTCTGCTTGTACCTTTCTGTTTCTCCCATTATTATTGTTATTTCACTACCATACACTAATTTGTGTTCGTTATTGTTTTTTTTCTTTTTACACGCATCTTACATACTTTATGTCTTCCCTTCTCATTGTTATTGCGTGGAGCATATGTATCTGGTGCCCCTTATACCAATATTTATGTGTTCAAAATAATAAATAAATAAATATTGTCTGAGCGATCCAAATACTGAATGACTATGTAAACTAGGGTAGATAGTGTGTGGTCTGAACTTACAAATTAGCAGTCAAACACTCTAATTAACTTAGCGCGACCACAAATCCACTGTTGCATAGGTATATTTACAGAGAAATGACTGACAACAGTATATTACTTTAAAAAGTCAGAACTTAAAACTTGAAAGGTGAAATCAATAAGATGACGATAGCGGTGTTTGGAGATTCTCCACGTGCAAGATTTATTACAGACTAACAATCAAAGTTGTCGACTAAATCCATCACAAACAAAATATAATTTCATAGCAATTAAATACTAGACGAAACTCAGTATGTGCAAGTTATGAATCTCTAACACCATTCACAGGTAGAAAGGAGGAGATATTACCATCAACACATAAATCAGCTCTGAATCACCTACCCAATAGTCCATCTTGTCAACTCCAAATCGATCTCGTAATGACTTGAACACCATTGGGCAGTACTCCTTAAACTTGAATCTACTAGGCATATTCTCCCTAGAATCACGTTCGTCAGCATAAGTCCACCATGAATACAAGAAAACTTACTTGTTAAAATGGTGGTTATTAACCTTCACTTTCATATATGCTTTGAAATCGTCTTTCAATAACAGTGCACGTTGCTTCACATGATTTAGAGCGGAAAACGAATAATTTATGCCCCACATCAGTACACTTTTTAATGGTTCATTGGCTCGAAAAAGTTTCAACTTCTGTTTCATGATCCTCACTTTCTTGTGTTTAGACACGGTGGCCATTGTTCAAAGATGACAAACGTTTGGAACGACAACTTAATGATTTAAACAGATTCTGAAAAGTCAAGGGAATGAACAGGTCAGAAGTCACACATGCAATGTACCCAACTCTTAATTTATAAAAGGTAGTTTGGGTAAGGAAACTCTTATTGTAAGCTAAAAGGCATATTCCGAAAATGGAAGGGGGAAAGAAAAAGCGGTTGAAAATATATGAAGACAGATCACATAGAAAGAAAACAAATAATTGAGGTGTTGTGACTAGATACGAGCCTTAAAATCCAGGAAATTTAAACAATAAACCGTACAATCAATTGGTTTAACAATAAGCTCTACTTATTGTCCAGGAAATTAGTTTTATAGTATGGACAACAAGCACCGTGTCTGATGAAGACTAGTATCAAATGAGATTTGTGTGGTGCGTGTGTATTTGGTGCCCCCTTGTGCCAACATCTGTGTTCAAATAATAATAATAAAGACTAGTAAGTTAAGAATAAACCTGTGCAAGCCACTTCAAAGAACGCCATTGACTAAAGCAAATGGTGACCAGGTAGTAACGAAGAATTTCTATCATGCAACATAAAAATCGGTAACATGGTCATATGACGCTAACAGACTTGGATAGCTTAAGCCCGGTAGACATACATGCAAGCAAATCAAAATTATCATGCTTCGGCGTCTCCTAATACTTACCCGCTTCCTAATAAAAAACCTGCCATATTAGTGTAGGATAACCTTGCAGTGGTTAGGAAGAGGAATTCTGTGAGACCTAGAATTTTCAAGCGTTTCACTTTTCATGTACATCCTTCAGTCAAACTCCACTTACTCTAAGACGCAAGTCTGAAACATTTGTTGACTATTACCACAAGTGACTCCAATATTTTAGTGGGAAAACTCCTGAAAAGTAAACCATACATCAGACTCTTGAGTACGTTTTAAATACAAGAACAGCAAGTTTGTACAGGCCGCCTTACAAACTTAGGTCATTCATTTCAACATACAGTTTACTTTAATAATGACTACCTAGTCGGCCTACGATATCACACACATCAAGTTATTCAGCTAATTCAAAGCTCGCACTTCTGTATTCAGTAATGACAGATCACCGATATCTACTGGTAGATACCCAGGTTTATAACTTCACACTTTTCTAATCAGGCACAATTTGTTTCCTAGTCCTTTGGTCCACTTCGCTGCAAGCCTGCAGAAGTCTTTCAAGAGATTTACATTTCTTTTGAGGATTAAAGATAAAAGATGTCACCACGCGCGCTATTTAAAAAAGGACGGTGGTATTTTTCCTCGCTGAGTAAATTTCATTGTTTTGATCGTTTATTACGTATCAAGACTACTGTTTTCACTTTAATTAGATTCATTTCAGTTGAAGTATTCGACTAGAGTACAGTTTTTACCGTTCTCTCAATTAGTTTTTTTGTTGGTACTCTTGAGTACCTCATTTTCAACTGTATCTGTTAGTACTTTTGGTCCTAACAATCTACAGTTCTTCACTTGGTCATTGATTCTTTTTTGTTTCTGGGCATCATCGCATCTCGTTTCTTTTTGAAAAACCCCTTTTAAATGACTGGACAGTGTAAAAAAAAAGCAGTTACCAACATCCGGCTTGTCGTTATCCCGTTGAAAGCGGCATGCAGTGCGACGAGTGCAAAGGCTGGTACCACGAAGTTTGCACGAACTTAACGCCTGCGGCTTTCAAACGGTTCAGTAAGAAGGGTTGCGTATGGCTTTGTCAACAGTGCTGTTCGGATACAAACAGCCTGTTAACCGAGGTCATCTCACTGGTTGATGCTGCGAAGAAGTGATTTAGCAAGCGTAGTCGGAACACGTCAAACAGCACTCGATCTGTCGACACACAAATCGACATGAAGCAAACTAACGTTAGTTCGATAGTGGATGACTCACGCCGATCGAAGAAGGAAAAGCATTCTCCATAGGGGCCTGCCTTAAGCAAAAGCTCAAGGGAAGTAGGTTATTCTGTTCTCCATCTCCCAGATGGGATCCAACAGGAAACGCCTAGAAGCCGCAATCGCAAGGCTCGATTGGTTTCGAGCGGTAAACATAACCTGACCTCTCAGGTTCATCGACAACCCCCCAGAATCCAGCACTAGATTTGACGCAACTGTTATTGCTTCTCCCAGCACCGTTGGTGAGTGGGTAAAGGTTGTAAGGAAGAAAGAAAGTAGCGATATAAAAGGTAATCCTACCCCCACGAATGTAGTCATAAAGTCGAAAGCTGATCATAGCGACAGACCAGCTATTTTTCATAGAATCAAGGAGAGCGATAGCTCTGAACCCAAAGCTCGTTTTGAGCATGACATTGTGCTGATTAATCAGCTGCTAAATCAACTCATGCCTCAAAATATTACCGTGGTCACCCTGCTAACGGTGTACAGACTAGGGAGTCTAGCGGACTTGAAACCAAATCATTCCAGACTGCTTGAAGTAGTATTCAACTCTTCGAAAAAACGTGACCTAATTTTACAGAATGGACACAAATTGAAGGGTTTAGGAGTCTTTATATGAAAGGACTTACCGTTGGCAGACCGCGTAAAAAGACGGAAAGCCGAAAAAGAACTACAACTTAGGTTACATGCTGGCGAAACGGATGTGAATAGTGTAAATTTTCGGGTTGTAAGGCTTCGATAGAGAATGATGCCAAAGCTACTCTGAGTGAAGCACGAAGCCACTTAAATAGGCTTCTGATCGGCTACACTAATGCCCGAAGCTTACTTAATAAGCGATCGGAACTAGGTGTACAGATTGACTCTACAAAGCCAGACATAATCGCAGTTACAAAAACCTGGCTGACACAGGCTATAGATAGTATGGAGCTTGATTTCGGGGGTTTTTTGTTGGTAAGGGCCGACAGAATACAAAAGCGTAAAGAAGGGGGAGTAGCTCTATTCATTAGGAACGCTATCCCATTTGCCATTATCGACAGTGTATCACATGAGAGTGGGACGTGTTAATTGGTTAGTCTCCGCTTGAAATGCAAGGGACAAGAGCTGCTGATTGGTTTGATCTATCGCAGTTCAAGCTGTGAGGTAAATGAAGTCCTGCTAAGCAGTCTCAATACTTGGTCACAAAGTGGTCGATGTCTAATCCTAGGGGACTTTAATGCACCTATGGTAGACTGGGAAAATCTACGAACTGGATCGTCAGAAAATTTCTTCGAGCAGGAGCTAGTTGATGCGGTTATCACATGTGCCTTAGTGCAACATGTGAAAGAAGCGACTAGGTACGACCCGGACGCTGTATCATCCTTACTAGATCTTATACTCACTCACTATGTGGATGACGTTGCGAACCTCCATTATATGCCACCCCTAGATAAAAGTGATCACGCAGTTTTAATTTTCGACTTCCATATAACTGTCAGTCACGAGCACGCGTCAGCCCAATCCAGACCTAACGTCTGGAAAGCAAATATACCAGATATCATGCACTCAGCATCCTTAGTAGATTGGACAATAGACCTAGAGTCCTCAATTGAAGCGGCCCGGAACGCATTTCGAAATTCATACTTAAAAGTTACCATACCCCTCATCCCTTGGGCTATACCAAGGGGGCCGGGAAACTCCCCACCATGGTTCAGTAGGAAGGTCCGCACCCTTCTCCGTAAGAGAAGAAAAATGTGAGATAGATTTAGGTTACTGGGGACTGGTGAAACTAAATCCTAGTATGGAAAAGTCCGGAATACCTGTGCCTCGACTCTCCGTATGTCTAGAAGATTGTACGAAGAAAAGATTGTTAAGGAATCCATAGAATGTCCTAAACGTTTGTATTCTTATATAAACCAAAGGACAAAGAGAAAAGGAAATATTCCTGCTCTTTGAGGAGACAGTACTGCCGCGTCACTAGTGGAGGACGACTATGGTAAAGCTCAAGTGTTCTCAAACTACCTCAGCAATGTATACACCATAGAAGCACTCTTCACATCAGCGCATATAGATCCCCCACACATACATTGGATAGCGTGACCATTAAAGAACTCGAGGTCTTTGGTCTACTAAATAAGCTTGACATAGGTATATCCACGGGGCCCGATGAATTACATCCTAGGCTACTGAAGGAATTATCTAACTTCGTTGCGAACCCTTTAAGTATATGCTTTAACCTATCCGTAACGCAGGGTCGTTTACCCAAAGACTGGAAAAACGCCACAGTAAGTCCTGTCTTCAAAACAGGTACGAAACACAAACCTGAGAATTACCACCCCGTTACTCTAACTGGTGTGGTTGTTTAAATCTTAGAAAAGATTATTCGGAAGGAGCTGTTTAAGTATCTCGATAAAAACCGGATCCTCTCGGAGAAGCAGCACGGTTTCAGAATAGGTTACTCTTGTCTCACTAACTTATTAGTGGCTCGTGAGAGCTGGTGCGCTCTTAAGGACCAAAAGTTACCTGTAGACGTAGCCTTCATTGATTTCAGCAAAGCTTTTGACAAGGTTCCGCACAACCGGCTGTTATATTAGCTAAGAAATGTTGGAATTAGAGGCAATCTATTTATGTGGATAAAAGACTTCTTAGTTGGGCGTCAACAAAGAGTTCGGGTGAACTCAAAGTTATCTAGCTGGGGAACTGTGCTTAGTGGAGTGCCCCAGGGTACAGTTTTGGGGCTAGTGCTATTCCTCTTGTATGTAAATGACCTTCCTCGTCTCCTATCATTATCGGTCTTGCTATATGCCGACGATGTCAAGATATGGAGAACGATACGATGTGAGGCTGATAGCTTAGAACTCCAAAATGACCTGAAGAAATTATCTGAATGGTCTCAAGCCTGGCAGTTGCCGATAAATACTTTCAAGTGTGTTGTGATGCATATCGGTCATCAAGGTACAGACACATGCACGATGAATAACACTGAGCTACCTGTCGTCCAGACATATAATGACTTAGGAGTTATCGTTAGCCAAGACTTAAAAACTACTGCACACTGCCGTGCAATAGCCGCCAAAGGTTTTAGAACGTTATGGTCAATACATAAGGCTTTTAGTCGTGTCGACGCTAAGACGTTTTTGACTTTGTATACAGTGTTCGTCCGTCCTAAACTTGAGTACTGCATACAAGCGGCTAGCCCCTGCTTAAAAAAGACAGTGAGTTTCTGGAAAAGATTCAGAGAACGGCAACTAAGCTGGTTCTCGGAATAGCGAAGCTTCCGTGTGAAGTTCGACTGGCGAAGCTGAACCTTTTCCTGTTGTCATATCTCAGAACTAGAGGCGTCTTGATTACAGTTTTCAAATTGCTTAGTGCCAAATTTGCACCGGATATGCCCTCATTTTTCTTGTCTTCCAAGACAGAGAATTTACGAGGACACTCCAAAAAAGTTCACAAGCGGAGAATAATTTACTTTTCAGCTGACTATCGACTTTCCCATCGAATCATCAACGAGTGGAACTCATTACCTCAGCACGTGATTGAGGCTCCACCCGTCGATTCTTTCAAAAGAAAGTTGGATCAACTGAGAGACCACTATTGCCGGGTCTAACACAGGCCATCAGGCCTCCTGTCCCTCCCAAACTGAGACTGAAACTGGATATCCAGTGCTTGGCGGCACCGTTGTCTGTAACACAGTTATAATCGAGGACCTCAAACCCAGTCAAACCAGAAGTCCTCATTGTGGAAGAGTTTTTTAAATATATTTCTGCATGTGCAGGTACACACCGTTTTTACAGGCATGATCTATTAATTACAACATTTGTTGGTTCGCAAAATGCTTCCCAACTTATTAAGTTTATAGTTGTTATAAAGTGAAATCGTAGAGCGCTTGCTGTGAACTATGACCTTGAGAGGACGCGTACGTCAAGTTTGCTCCAAACGTCAGAAGTTTCATAGCTGTGCTCTCAGAGCAAGATTCTGAAGGAGAGAAAAAGAGAAACAGAAGAGCAGCAAGGCACTTGGATATGAACGCCAAAGGTTGCTTAACATTGTGTAGTAGAACGGACAGAGGTATAATAAATTAGAATAAATTTATATAATGTCTTGTTA